ATCATTCCAGTCACATCCAAATTTATGATTTGGACACATAATTGAGAAGCGACTAATCTCTTTACGAACAAGTCGATCAGGAAAGAACTATAAAAAAGAGGGAAAAAATGAATTACTGTCAAATCTAGATTTAAAGATGTACAGGTCTTCCATCTTCATTGGTCAGTTCTTCATCGCAATCAGGCCTTGGGCAAAAAATTGTCCCTTCACTACATTAAAATATCAATTTTAAATTTATTATTACAATATAAATTTCAAATTTACTTCTTGTCGAAAAGCTCTTCAGCACATCCGTTGCAGAGCCAATGGCCACAGCTTGTCTGAACAGCATCGTGAAGAATACAGTCACATTTTGGACAAATGTATTTGTCAAGCTGGTCTTTGTTATTCTCAGTCAAAAGACTTGTCTTTATACGGCAAGACTGACGAGAGAGCCGCGAAATAGTTTCCAGTTGTCCTGCATTCATTTCTGTCCCAATACTTGTATTGATCCAGGGGCGAACATTTGTAGGCTTCAGGTACTGATTAGAATCAAAACTTGACTGGAACTACATTGTACATGTATAAAAAAACAAAAATAGGTTTGGTTATTGAGAGAATTATGCCAATTGAATTTTAAATGAAATTTAGTATCATTTCTTTAGTTAATAATTAGTACTAACCCTTTGCAATGATGAATCAAGGTCAAGATCCCTACCAGCTACATGCTTCTCATTTATTGGATTTTTATCATCTAAATCACGCTTCTGGTAATGACCTTCGCTACGCATAGGAATAACAGGTCCTGGACAAACCTATATACATAAGGGACCATAGCATTATGGAGTGTATTCTTTGACATGTACGTACATAAATTGCCTCTTCCTTTTCATTCATGGTGGATGGCGGCACATCCTCATCCATGCAAGGTGACAACTCTTTTTGAACAACCAGCACTGTGGTTTCCTAAATAAAGAATTAAAATACATTTTATGCACAAATCCACCCAAGTTTTGTGTCATTTTCTGTTGCATTTTGGGCTAGGAATTTCTGAGCAAAGCTCTTCCTGGTAAAGCCCGTTGGTTGTGAGAGGTGGACCCATTTTACATGCTCTTGGGCGAAGCATAGATATACGCCCTTTCTGGTAAAGCATATGTACATGACACATTTGGCATAATGTACTTAGGCACTAATATATTATGCTAATTCTACATTGTATGTACTAATTATTACTATATAGGGCCTCCCTATTGTTTTTCCACTGACATAATATGCATCAATGCGTATAAGGAAATAAACAAGAAAATAAATAAAATTAGGCTTAATTGGCCTGTTATATAGTATACTGTATCTATGTTCAGGCTAATATCTATGCTTTTCTTAAGCGCTATGGACATAGTCAAGCCATGGGTCAAGCGGAGCCTGACTACTAATAGTGATGGACCTGGTCATGGTGAGGCATATAAAGACAGCTTCGAAAGGAATGTATTATATATTTCTTATCAACATTGCAATCACGAGGCTATGAACTCACCTGCTCCATATCGGGCAGGTATTGAATTGAACACTTGACTGCAGAAAGAAAAGGTGAAGATGAAACAAGATACGCCTTTTTGCTCTAAAAGGTAAACAAGCGTAACAGCTAACAGCTTAAGGACAACAACACGTCATACGTCACGTGAACCTAAAAATAGCACTATAGAAAGACTGTAAAAGCCTAAAAAGGAAATGCTATTGTT